AAGTTCGTAATAAAAGCATAAGGAGTCTGACTAAGCCTTGAAGTGCAGGCTGAAGAAACTGGAACTTCAATTAAACTTAAAGGGCTGTAATTTTTGGTTGAACAAGACACGAGTTTCCATGGATATGATTAAAATAAGTGTCTGATGGGAGAAAAGGTTTTATGTTGGTAATGTTGCAATTTTTAAAAGCTTCTAAAAAGCTAATATTGGCAACTTGAAAACCTAAAACGAGTTTTGCCCTATGATATTGACTGGAATCCTGCCATTGAGTAATCTTCTCTTGTTTAGGGTTGTGCTTTTACAACTACACTGCAGGATTCAAGGTGGCTTAATGAGGTGGATTGTTTTCTAAAATTTTAACTTTCCAGTAACGTAAATTTAGTTATAAGAAGCAACACCAAAGCTTTTACTGCATAGGAATTCCCCCTACAGTCTTTAGAGGTTCTATTCATGCACTAATTTAACTTAATTCTTAGAGCATGCATCTGACCCTCTGCTTTTTCTTTCTCAGGCTCAGAGAATTTAGTGGAGCTTGTTACTGTGGTTATGCAAAGGTTAGGTGCAGTAGATGAACAAAATCGTCCTCAACTTTTGGTAGGTGTAAATGAAAATCGTTTTTCCGCCTTGATGAATTTACCTTCTGCTCTTCATGTGGTAAATGAATAGATGAAGATGGTATGAACTTTTTTCTATCCTTATTGCAGTATGAAGATGATGAAGGCGATAAAGTTCTGCTGACAACTGATAGTGATCTTGTTGGTGCAGTTAACCACGCCAGATCAGTGGGACTAAAGGTATGGAGATGCCCCTTGTTATGTCGAAAACATAGACAGCCCCCTAAAGTTGGCACTAATTTTTATTTGGACACCTCTACTGACCCTTGTACCTAGTAGACACTCCAACACTCACCAAAATGTACCTATTAAACATAAAGCGCTGACATGGCATAAAGAGTGATTCTCACTACATTTAGGCGCGTGAATGTTTACATTTTGCTGACATTGCTAAAAAATTAGCAATTCTGCCCCTCTCACACATCTTGTTCATCTGTCTTCTTTCTCCTTTCTCTCCATCTCCATCTACCATTTTGGTCACCATCCTACTAGTTATTTTCTTATTTATTAATCCTCATCGGGGTTTTAAATAAAACAAATTCCATCAGTTTTTCTCCGCCAAAGTTTCTAATTCTGCCCACCCCATTATGAATATCCCCTTTCTGGTGATTTTTCTGATGATGCTCGTTTGCATACATCAGATTCTGGTTTGTTGCAGAGTTCTCTTTCTGCTCCTTATAAGAAGGAAACCGACAACCACAAAGACTATCATGATCCAAAAAATATAAATCGTCGTATAAATCATCAAAACAGTGAAAGAACGAGAAAGAAACGACATAGTAATCTGGAGGAACCAAAGAATGCACACGTTAGCTTTTGCACCCAAGAATGCAAAGGGAAATGGATCTGCTATATATGGAGTAAACATATACTATGCAAGATTGTTCTGTTAAGATGTTCTAGTATGGAGTAAAATACTCTGCCAAATAAACCCAGCGCCTTATTAGATCTTCTACTGCCTGTTCTGTTTCTGTTTCTACTTCCCGGCAGCTTTGAAGAGGAAGAGGTCGGCAAGATTTGATATTCCGATCTCTAACGTCTTTGTTGTACTAGACTCATAGCTATTATGTTTATTTCAACAGAAGATGGATGAAGAAGAAAACAAAGAAAAGCCCAAAAAAAATGGAGAAGAAAAAGAACGATGAAAACGACGAACGGAGGGGGGACGTTCGTCGAGAGGATTATCAGAAAAGAATTTTTTTATTTTATGGCTAAAACGCCTTTTTTCTTTCTTTTTCAAATTTATTTGTTTGCTTTTATTATTTTACACTTGGCGTCCATTAATTGGTTCGTTTTTTCATGTCAGCAGAGTAAAAATCATGCCCTACTTTTTTAACAAAGAATGTGGCTCAGGTGTTCAATAGGTACACTGTAGTTTGTTGGAATGTCTAATAGGTACAAGTTCAAGGGTCAGTTGAGGTGTCCAAATGAAAATAAGTGCCAATTTTAGGGGGCTGTCTATGTGGTTGGCCTATGTTTTTCCTATTGCATCGACTTCCATTAAGTTATGGTTGTCAAAATTGCGGGAGATCTTGTGTCACGAGCAACTGCTTCCCCTTGTTAATGAAGTTGTAATCATATTCCAGAGAGAATTTTGTTAATAGTCGGATTAGGCAGAGAAATGGATTGTCATGTGAATAATTTTAATACCAACTCGTATATAATTAACAAGTGTTTTGATTTTCTCGAAATTTTTTGTTTCTCTTTTAGCATCAAAACTCTGATGATGACCAAAATTCCCTCGGGCATCTATTTCTGTCAGTGGATGTATACAGGCTTTGTGGACAGTTTGGTCATAGCATTCTTATTTTCATGACTGCTACATTTCTTTTGCAGGCCTTAAGATTGCATCTAGACTACTATGATGTAAACCAAGAAAAATCAGCGCCAGAATTGAGTACTACCTCTGTCGAGAAAGATGGATGGATTTCACTGCACATGGGGATTTTTGCCGGCGCTGTTGTGCTAACAAGTGTTGGTGTATTTGCCTACTTGAAGCGCACCAATACATGGTAAGCCAATTTTTAAGGATTCTATTCTGCTGGAAAAGCTATAGATCATGCAGACTGATGTGTGAAGTTCCGAAATTTTGCTGTCGGCAATATGAACACTTCTATTAGTAGAGAAGGGCAGTGTTTGAAGTGATCCAAACATGCTGATATAAGAGTAGCTACAATCCTTCTCCCTAATGCCAACTGCTTGGGAAAAAGGGTGGAAAAAACGAAAAGAAAAGGGAACTTGAGGAGAATTCGTCAGTCTTAAGTTGCAGCAACATTATTCTCGTTGATATGATACGTGTTATTTATGGTCAATTACTGCTGGAAATTGGAGTTTTTCCTTGTAAAATCAGTGAATTTAGGTCTTTTTAGTAGTACTGGAGTCATCCAAAGTTTGAGGGGATGCCTCATAACTCGAATACTGTAAATCATTTAATAGCATGCGTCTTGGTGCTAATCTTCTTTATTTAACACTAGTATTTTTTAATTTAGTAAACAAGAATTTGCATTCGGTACGAAATCTGGTATATAAAAAAAATAGAAAAAGAAAAAAGTTAGGGCAACTATCAATGGCGCAAAACCTTGTTAAGAAAACTACCAATTGCGCCTCTTTACATTATATCAATCTGCTGCTGACCTATAAAATGCAAATATTTTATAACAAAAAATTATTCAAGTCAGGGTCGTAAGATGCAAAAAGGAAAGCTAGATACTATTTTTTAATGGAGTATCTATCATCTACTAGAACAAAATTGTGAAGCCAGAAGTTGATTGCCCACAAACTCTTTCTTACAACTTCTGTCTACATTTGTTTAGGTTGCATCATCAGAGATTTCAGACACTAGAGATCTTGAAGGGTTAAGATCTCGAGTATATAGATAAAATATTAGGGTTGAAAGGTATATAACATATATTGAACACCCTTTGTCGCGGATATTTTTTTTACTTCTTTCAAGTTTGAAGAATCCTTGGAAAAATTTCTGGCTTCGCCGCTGGTTTGAATCCAAACCGTAGAAGTTGGTCTCGAGGAAAAAGTTATAGTGAAATGACTACTATGATAGAGCAGATGAAGCATTTCAGCCACAAGTATGACGAAATCCATGAAAGAAAAAAATTAAGATTTATTATGAAGAACTGCAAAAGACATCTAGTCGGGTAGATTGTAGTCTTGGGTCCTTTAATTAAAAGGGACGTCTGAATCTTTAAACTAGAAAATGAACAACAAGTTTTAAATCCTCTTTTAGGATTAAGGTTAATTATAAGTTAATGATGAAGCAATTTCTTTAAAGAATAAAAAAGAGCTCATCCCATCTCTATGGCTATTATTTTTTAAAAGTGGAGCTTGCTGTTCTTTTTCTTTCTTCTCCAAAGCTGAAATATCGATTTCTCTAGTATTATTTTCCAAATCTTCTCCAAATTTTATTCTGTAATTTCCTTCCTTGACAGGCGTGGAGTAGAAATGGAAAACAATCCACAATTGTATAAATGTCAATCACGAAAACAAGCTGCACTTAAAACGAGATCGTGGTCATGTAGGTTGACCCAAAAATGCCTAAGCAGGCTAAAAGGAAATTCGGGAGATTAACAAAAAATAGAAAATCATGTTGAAAATTTACGTGGATTGTGTTGTTATTAATTATTTTTAAGTTCTTTGTTATCGGTTCTGGTGATAAATGCTACATTTTAAAACACTAACTATGCTAACATGTATCAGTCCTCTAACAAGAGTGGGTTGCTCTAGTAGTGAGCACCCTCCAGTTCCAACTAAGAGGTTGTGAGTTTGAGTCACCCCAAGAGCAATGTGGGGAGTTCTTGGAGGGAGGGAACCGATGGTCTATTGGAAACAGGCTCTCTACCCTAGGGTAGGGGTAAGGTCTGCGTACACACTACCCTCCCCAGACCCCACTAGTAAAATTATACTGGGTTGTTGTTGTTGCTGTTGTATCAGTCCTCTTATAGCATGTTTGGAAAGTCACATAGGAATTGAATATATGTGCAATATATAACACAAGTTTGCATGTTTGTTTGGGAGGAAAAGACTTTGGTAGTCCCTAAAATATGCCTATAGGAGTATTTTTGTCCCCTTATCTGTATCACTAAATATAAAATATCCCTTATTTTTATGAAAGTGGACAACTATGGTCTAACCCTTAACAGGGTTTATAAAACTAACGGAAAAAGCTTCAAATAGTGTTAAAAATAATGCTGTTAAACTAAAGGTGAGGAAAATTGAAAACATATACGCGGGAGAAGGGAAAATCCCTAATTCCTTTTCTTTGTTTTGGCACCAACAGCGTTCTTTCAATTACCTTTCTTTACTTTGGCGCCAAAATTATTCTTGTAAAATCAAAGATTTGCCATTGTCGATCTTTATTCTCCATCACCAGTCATGTATATCAAGAGGAATGGTGCAATAGAATCACGCCCATCTTATGGTGATTTACCAACTAGTTTGCAGAATCTTTTCTTTATAAGTTTTGACCTTAATTCTTATTTTTGTTTGTTAATTTGTATCAAAGTAGGCTAAATTTGGGTACTTTATATTGTTTCTTATCTTATTTCTACATAGGAAAACTAAATCTTGTTAGATTATAAGTTGCATTTTTATTTTGTTTCTGATTGCCTTTAAACAAGTTTAATTAGAACTTCTTTGCTTATTAGATTTGAGTTCCTTTTGTATTCAGTTCTGCTATCTTCAGATTATTTTGGTTTGAAACTCCTATTAAAAATATGATTTTAATTGTTGCAGGCTCTGTAATTGAGGCGTCATGTTTCAGCATTAAGGTATATCATGGGGGGTTGATGAAACAGCAGTCAACTAAACACTATGTTGGAGCTGTGGTCGACTACTTTGACTATGTGAAACCAACAGATATTAATATGACAGAGTTGAGGAAGATGGCCGAGATTTGTGGTTACGTCAATGATTCAGTGATATTCTGGCACAAATGTGGTAAGTTTGGTAACATATTGAGACTATTATCAACTGAAGTTGAAGTTAGCAGAATCGCTACATCGATTCCCCAAGATAATATAGTTGAGATATATTTTGAGCATCTGGACTATTACTTTGAAATGGCATAGATAGAACCTGAGAATGAAGGTCAAACAATCAACATTCAAAATATGCAACAAACTATTGGAATTACTGAGAAAATGGCTGAAACGTCAAACTCGTCTAGTTGTGATGAGTTTGAGGATTCTGAAAATGAAATATCAGATTTCAACCCAATGCTTGATAAGCGAGTTACTGGAAAACAACCTGTTGAAGGTGGTAGAGAGCTTATTAGTGCCGAGGTTCAAAAGAAGCTGTCAAATGAAGAAGGGGATTCTGATTGCGTGAATTCATCGGACACTTTAAGCTTGGACAATGGGAGTTTTGATTTTCCTAAGTACAATCCTAAAACTGATGAGAAGAGTCCAATACTTGCTCTTGAATATACATTTGGAAACAAAAATGAGTCTAAATTTGCTGTGGAAACTCATGAAATAAAAGCTGGAAAGTATATCAAGTGGCGCAAAAATGACAAGATAAGAATAAGAGGTAAGTGCATACACTCGACTTATAAGTGGGAAATTATGGCATCAAGAATGCACAGGGACAAAGGGATTTCAAATAAAAACTTACAATCCTAAGCATAGTTGTAAAAATTGGCATCACCGTTATAAGACGATCACATCTTCTTTTATTGCGAGGAGATATCTGGATACCATCAGTTCAAACAGGGATTTGAAAGTTTCTAAATTCAGGGACACAGTCAGTCAGAAACTTAAAGCTCATGTTAGTTTACCTCAAGCTAGAAGGGCTAAAAGAAAGGCCGTTGCATTGCTTGATGGTGATACTAAAGATCAATTTGCTATGTTGTGGGACTACATCGATGAGCCTGAAAGGACAAATCCAGGTAGTTTGATTCATGTGAAATTAACATAAAATGAAATGGCTAACAAACCGGATTTATTTCAGAGAATTTATATATGCTTTGGTGCTTGCAAGGAAGGCTTCAAGGCCGGTTGTAGAAAGATAGTTGGTGTAGATGGTTGTTGGTTAAAGGGCGCGATGTACGGAACTCAATTGTTAACGGCAGTTGGACTTGATGCTAATAATAACATATTCCCAATCGCATACGCAGTTGTTGAAAAAGAAACACGGGATACATGGTTGGATGTTGTTCGAATTACTTTGATGCTGTTTTGGGATGGTGTTCCAGTCACTATTGCTGCTATTGTTCTTTTTGGAAGCTAAACAGAATATGTAATTGCTGAAACTATTGAAGACTTTTTGCTGAAATTAGATGTTGTTGAAGACTTTTTGCTGCTATTTCTGGTTTCCAAGTATGGTTGATCAAGTTCTATTCCTATTTTTCTGAATTGCTATTAATATTTGATGTATTAAATTCTATGATTTTGATTCATGTACCTACTGCAAATCACTATGCTCTCCCTTTTGGGAAGAAAATTTAATGTGTTTAAGACTCTTTTACCCATGTATTTAAAGCCATGATTTCTAAATATTCTACATACTGATATTTTGTGATGATCCTTGAAAGTAATGAAATGAAAGTATGAAATATGAAATGCGGCCATCGTGTCAAGAATGAAGATTATCATGTGTGGCCAAGAGTGCCAATGAAATGAAAGATTTAATGGAAGACTATGAGATGAATATATTTCTTTTATATAGAAAGTATTTTTGAGAGTATCGTTAGGTCACTGAGGAAAGTTGGGTTATAAATACACAAGCCCTAAACTACACGTGTCGGTGTAAGAGTTGATTAAGGGATGAATCCCCATTGTATTGAGATTATTCCCCTTGATTGAGATGAGTTGATAGCTAGCAAAGACCATGTCGACCCACAGACATTGTGGTGAGACGACCTAGCTGATTGGGTGGAGATCGGACACCATGCCACACACATGGTGGTATCGTGTTTCTATGTCAACCCTCATACATTAGGGTGATACAACTTAGACAATTGGGCAGAGATTGGACTCCATGCCATGTTCATGGTGGTATGTTGGTGCTAAGGATCTCCCAACCTAAAATATTAATGCTTACTTGAAGGTTTACTTTGTTTTTAACTTGGCATTTAAATATTACTGATTTTTCTTACTGCTTCCATGTTTCTCTCCTTTTATATTGGCATTCCATTCCATGAGAGGGTATTTAGCTTTACATACTAGTACTATTCCATATGTACTAACATGCCTTTTGCTGGAGGCGCTGCATCTTTAATGGATGTAAGTGGTTCCTCAGCAGGCGACACTGATCGTTGTTAGCAACACACCCTCTTCTAAGCTTATTTTTTCAGCCCTACTCCATTTTGGGGCATTGTGTCATTTTGATTCTTGTACATTGCATTTTGAGGTATAGCCAGGGCCTTGTGTTACACCCCATGTTTTCGTACGTAAGGGTACGTCGCAAGTCAATTGATGTAAACTTAGAAATGTGATTATCTTTGAAAGTACATAAAGTAAGTTAATCATGTAACCGTGGAGGTTACAAATATTTAATATCATGAATAACAAGTACCAAGATGGTTGGAAGGCTTAGAAGCTAAGCGAATTAAAGAAAATAAGTTTCGTCGAAAGTCGACAAGTTGGGAATGTTATAACATGTACTTTTGGGGATGAGACTAAGGTTCTTAACATGATAAGGAGGTTATCTTATGAGTTATTTTAGTCGTATGATAGTCGTGTGTTATGTTTTGAGGTCAAAAGAGTTGTGGAACAAAAGTTGGCAAAGGTCATCACAAGTTACATTCATAAGTATGCTGAAAATTAAGTCAAATATAGCTGAGATATTCTCCCAATATAATTGGAATTACGGGATGATCCACCTATATTGGAGATCTACGAGTCTATTTTCCAACGCATTAAATTGTTTGTCAATACGACATCAGAGTAGAGAGATATTTACGTTTTTGTGAGACTGCACAGACTACATAGATGACAAGTAGGTGTGTCATCTACTTGCTTAAATGAAAGGACCAAATATGTCCAAAAATGGGCTGGTTGGGGTAGGCCAAAGAGCCCTTTTTAGGGACTGATTTACTTCATATATTCCACTCATTATAGAGTCAAAAATCAGAGATAAACCTCTGCAAACGTCTTCCAAAAATTCAACACAAAATCCTAAATGATTTTCTCTTCTTTTCAAGTTCTAGGTTGAGGAAAACCTAAGGGTTGAAGAACCAAGTTAGGAGATGAGATATTCACCAAATAAGGTAAGTATACTGACCTCTTTCATCCATTTTTTTTTTGCTGTAAAAGAAGATAAATTCTTTCCATAATTGTAAGAACTCACGGCACGGTGATCGGAAGCCGTGAGTTCGAGTTATTCAACTTGTAGTGGACTATTTTGTGGGCTATTTTGTTTTTTGTTGGTTTGTTTGTTTTGATACTATTTTATGGAGTTTGGGAGGAGAAAGGGTGTGGAGAAACACCACATAATGGCGGGATGGTGGGCTGGTCGTTCGTTGTAACATTTTCGGGTTGTTTGATACTACTATGGTTGTCGTTTTGTGTATGAAGTGATTGGGGTGTGTTGGGGTGGAAATGATGTATATATGTTGTTATTGCTGTGTTCTTGTGTTTTTGGTATTATATCGAATTGGGAGGAAGTAAAGATGATAGGGGAGATGCTTCCCGTTTTAATATAAAATAAGCTTGTTGTTCGTTGTGTGGTAGTTTCATCTTTCGTATCTTAACGATAGCATTATTATCGTTGTTTTAGATTGAAGTATGATGAGACAAGTTCAACATGGTTATTGGACAGATTGTGATAGGTACGTAAGGTCTTCCTTTCTTTTCTTTGGCATGATTAAGGCTCTTTCACGAGTATAGTCATATGAATGTTGAAATGGATTGTATTGATCGTAGTTTCATGTACTTTTAACGAGTAAATAGAGCCTTCCAAAAGGTCCTTGTCTTCTATATGTAACAAGACGTCCAGATGTCAATTGAAGATTACGTACGAATGGTCTAATGAATCAAAAGAAATATAGTGTCCGTATAATGAGGGATAGCTATACATGAATAGTTCAATAAGGTAGCATAATGTATAGCTTGCAGAAAGATAAGAATGATTTGACCTAAAGAATTCCATGACTTCCAATACTTGCACATTTGTGTTCACAAAATTGATAAAGACCCACGAAGGTAGCTGCATTGCTCTCAAGTTAAGTAAGATTGATTTATGAGGGGATGTTAAGATATGATATACGTTACCTAAGGAGTCGTAAACTACATAATATGATAAGCTTAGCAATAAGAAGATAAGTTGATAGAGCATAAATTCTACAGCTCTTGTTACGTATTGATGAATGGATATATATATATGTATAACATGTAGCCTCGCAAGCTAAGCATATTACATATCTATAAGTAGACAAAATCATGTAATCCCCAGAAATGAGTGGTGATGTGAAATAAGGATAGAAGTGCGAGTCCGAATTACTTACAACGTTCTTCATGGCTAAATAATATAGATTACAAAGGATGACGTAGCAAGTGGCTAAGGAATAAGGGTTGGTTATTGTAATAAGTTACTCACGAAATTGTATGTTATGAATACGAGTTTATCTATTTAATATTGAATGATGTCTGCATGAGTGATATGGATAGAATATGTATAAGACAAGATACCTACAGATGGTCTATGAATGCGTAGGTGTACAATGAAGCCCTATGGACGGTCCATGAATGCATATGTGCATAATGAAGGTTGGTTATGGATGGTCTTAGTTGCACACATAGCCAGACCTCAATACTATTAGCCATACAGATGGTCTACTATGTTACGCGTACGAGCCACTGGTTATTCATGTTTATGAGTGAGCCTTACGGACGGTCTCTTATGAAATGCGTAAGTGCCACTTTTATGTTTTAGTGTAGTCCTAGAGATGTTTGATCTGTCCGAGGTAAGTATTCAGATATAAGGTATGATGGCTAGAAGAATGTTATAGATGAAGTTCCATAATACGATGGTTTCCAGTACATATAGCATATGGGAAAAGTTTAGGTATATCATGACACGAATTAGATATATATACGACAGTCCCGACATTAGATGTTCTCAGCCAATAGAGCCTTCCCTTTTGTAACACCCCGAAAAATTTTGAAGTATTTAAGTGTACAGCCCCATAAAATTTCGCAAATTAATTCAAGGTTTCGTGATGCCGGAGTAGGTATACGTGTTTAAGGAGGCAGGAGTGAGGCAGGAGAGGGTTAATCTGGGAGCAATTATGCGGTCGACTATGCGACCGCATAACTGTTCAATGGTGCATTATGCGACCGCATAACAGTTATGCGGACCTCATAGTGATCGCAGACTTAGACAGATTTTTTGGTCATTTTGGACCCCAATTATGCGACCGCAGAACCTGTTCCGGAGCTCCATTTTTTTGAATTTTAAAACCCGACCCTACTTCGTTAAATACACGCAAAGGGTCATTTTTGAGCAAATATTCTGATGTTTTAGAGAGAAGGGAGAGTGTTTTATAGAGAGAGAAAACCCTAGGCTAATTATTCATCAAGTCTTGCTCAAATCTTGGAAGATTATCAAGGAAAACCCACAAGTTCTTCATCTAAGAGGTAAGGTCTCATACCCTAGTATTCAATTTCGAATTTAGGTAGAAGATGGTTGATTAGGAGTATGATTCTTGGGTATGAGAGTATTATCTATACATGCATGTACCAAAAAGATTTGTGGAAAGATTGTTGAGCTTAAATAAGTAAGGATTGGGTTGTATAGTGAAGGAAATCTTGTAGAAAAACCTTGTGGTTAAATTTGCACACCTAGTGTTTGATAAAATATTCAAAAGAGCTGAGACCATGAATATCTTCCTAATTGTGGTTCAATTTTTGTTATGTCTCAAAATAGATTGGGATTGCTAGAATTTCTGGAACGTTGTAGTAATTTAAGAAAAGCTCAAATCAAGGTATGTTGGCTAAACTTTCTCTCTTAGAATAGATATCCATAATGTTTCCGTAAGATCAAGTATGATTGGCTCAAGATTCCTAACTTCTATATTCCGGGTTATTCCCTATAAACTTGTTTATTCCGAATGAGCCTTATGTCGAAAGATAGATGTTCAAAGTATGGTTTGCATATTAAAATGTTGTGGCTTTGAGTCGTGTTTTAGATGAGAACTAGTATACTAATTGTGTGAGAAAATCTCAATATTCTTAAGACTCGAAATTGCTCATATGTATACCTAAAGTTTGGATTGGAAATGTATTATT